CTCCCCCCATTATCAAGTCCCCCCCACATACCCCATTACAGTCACTGTCCATCAGTGTAGTAAGATGCTGTAGAATCACTACTTGTACTCTCTGTGTTATACTGCCTTCCTCATGCCCCCCCCCCACCTACATTATAACTGAGTTATTTGTATGTAGGAACTAAGTTTTGTATGTGACTAATCTGGTTTCCCACAGTACAGTGGAAAGAGTTGAGTCATCAAGCCTTACCTCCAGGCCTCATGGTAGTAGAAGAAATTGTTTCTTCTGATGATGAAAAAATGCTTTTGGAAAGCATTAACTGGTCAGAAGATACAGACTATCAAAATGGTGAGTAAGACTTATAAAAATATTTAAAAGTTTCTGCAAAATGCCATATTACTGCCCCTTCTCTCCTCCTTCCGTGGTGTATTAAAACTCTTAATATTTCCTCAAAATTACTGAAAGTAGCCTGAATCTAATTTTACACAATTCATACGAGCATTAATAATAAATAATATTTATATAGCTACCAATTTAAAACTCCAAGCTAATTAATATTAGGCAACATTTGTAGAGCTAACATTGATAAGCCCTTTCACATATATTATCTTATTTGATCCTGTCCACCCTAAGGCAAATTTCCTATGAGGAATTGGAAGTTCAGTACATACCACTGTAATATAAAGTGATTCTGGAGATAACTTGCAAATTAGAGTTACTCTGACTCTTTCCAGATCAGTTAGCAGTCTTATGTGTGCCTGTGTGCATGTTTAACTCTTTCAGATTGATTGGGAGAAACTCTAAGCATTTGTTATCATTTTAGCCTTAAAAGAACAGCAGATATTAGATAAAATGTTTAATTTTATTAAAGACAATAATTTTGCAGTTAACAGGTCACCATTACTAAACAAACCTTATTCACAGTGTCAACTTTGAAATATATAAAAGATTGCAATTATTTTCTTTCAAGTAGGTCACATTTTTTTCTTTTCATATAGTTCAAAAGTCCTTAAAACACAGAAGAGTAAAGCATTTTGGTTATGAATTCCACTATGAGAACAACAATGTAGATAAAGATAAGCCATTACCTGGGGGTAAGTAATTGTTAATAAAAAATAATTGCTGGTTTTGAAAAAAGATTTAATATATTGGAAGTCTGTCCTAGTTAAGGATAATGTTTCATTTGTCATCTTTTGGTAAGCTTTTGAAACACTGAATAAATTTAAAACAAGTTAGATGCATAGTGCAGTTTTGATGTAAAAACATCATATCATACAGATAAAGCTCCAGTTCCTTTTGAACACTATCCTTAGTTCTATACTTTTTCCCAGGAGTAGTACTATTAACTGGTTAGTATACATTTTTCCAATCCTTTAAAAAATGAAAAAATGAGTTTATATCCAAATAGAGACACCTATAAAAGTATATAGTTGTTAACATGTAATATATTGTATGTGCTGTATATTCACATATTACATATATCATTCCAACTTACTCTTTTCCCTTTATGGTATGTCTTGGACATCTTAAAGTTTTTCATTTTATTGATTGTTCAGTAATGGCTTACTCAGTTCCCTTTTAATAGACATTTAGGTTATCTCTAGCTTTTGACTTTTACAAGTAGTGCTGTAGTGAGTATCCTTGTATACACATTTTTATGCAGTAAGCAAAAGTTTCTCTAGGGAGACAACTGAGAATTGTTGTGTCAAAGTTTTGTTCATTTTAAAATGTCGGTGCTGATGAAGTGCCCCCCCAAACAGCTATACCAGCATACTCAGACCAAGTGTGAACCCGTTTCCCTTCACTCCTACCAACATGTTGTATTGTAAACTTTTAACTCTCTAATTATCTGATGACTAGTGAGGTTGGCCATTTCTGTGACTTCCTTTTCATAATCTTTATCAATTTTGTGTGTATAATTGATTAATAAGAATTTACTATATAATCTGATTATGAATCCTTTGGTAGAATTCTTTGTTGGAATTAAATTTATCTGTATTTTTATGACTTTGGTCTTATTTAAAAATTTTCCTTCCCTCGTGAAGTAACATTTATGTCTCCAAAGAAAGTTAGTGCCACTTTGAAATAATTAAAATAAATTAAAATTTAATTTAAAATAAGTGGAATAATTTAAAATAACAAAAAAGAAAGTGGTCAGGCTAATTACCAGTATGTAATAGTCAATTTTATAATTTTATTATTTTACAGAGTACTAAAATTGTCAGCAAAATTGTTCTTTTGGGTGTTTTATTTGATAAAAAAATCAGTAAAATAGAAGATTCTTTAGAAAATTTTGTTTGCTTGTGGGTTTTTTGTTATATTTAGATCTGACTGCTAAGTTAAAAGCTGTGTGATTATTATCACAGTGAATAATTATTTTTATTTTTGAATAAAACATGCAAAGTAAATATTTTAATGTTTCATCTTTATGATTACTGACTTCAGGTCTTCCTGACATTTGGGATAGCATTTTGGAAAAGTGGTTGAACGAAGGTTTCATTAAACATAAACCTGATCAGTTGACCATCAACCAGTATGAGCCTGGGCATGGTGAGTATTTCTTCTTTTAAAATTCCAGTCATGTATTTCATAACTAAGTAGATTATGTAACTCCCTAAGATCAAACATATGTTTTAGCTCATACTAACTCCTGGTTTGCTTATATTAGTTACCTGCATTGACTTGAATCCCTTGCACATCTACATGTTAGTCCCTTGAAGAATTTCCTTCTCAAAGGGTAAACAGACTGACACAGTTGCTATTTGTGATTTGGTTTTTTTGGATCCTCTCTCAGTGTTTTATTTAGAGGGGAGAAGATGGTTTTAAAGCCATAGGAGGCATGTATAATGGAAGAAACCAAATCAGTTTACAGATGCGGAGATGAAGGCTAATTGGTTGGGTAGTCTTGCTCTCCTCCTGTGAGAATGTGGAAGACAACTCTAGGATGACCTGTTAGTAAAATCTTCAGGTTATTGATTTTTTTGTACTTGTTATCAAGATCTGCATCTCGTATTTATAGTAATCAAATGGTCTTAAGTGTTTTATTAATGGGGGCATCATAGAGGTTTTGGGTTTTTTGCATTATCATAATGTCTTATAATTGCATAGTTACCTATCAGTCTTTCTGCTGGTCTGCATGCTTCCTGAGAACAGGGACTTTGTCTTATGGCAATGTGTACTCTCACTGTGTAGCAAAGTGCCTTTTTCTTAAGAGGTTTTCAGTTAACATAGATTGAAAGATTGGTAGTCAGCCATGTTTTAATTATTGATACATGCTGTTTTCACACCTGACTATTGCTTTTGTTATGTAAGTACTTTGGGATATAGTATTTAAGGGAAAAAATGACTTCAGTATCTTCTTTAACATCTTCCTCTTAGGCTGGATTTCAGTAAATGTCCTAGTTAGGCAGTGACTCTTGAGTCCTGATTTAGAACTGAGTCCCAATGGTAGTTGAAGTTGAAGATAAGATAATTTTAATTTATATTTATTTTGATTCTGTTTAGTCATATTCACCCTAAATGTTTCTTTTTAATTAAAATTATGGTACATATCTGATTATCAAACAATATTTTCACTATAATAGTGTGAGGCTGTATTTAAAGTCATCTTAAATCTACCAAAGAGAAAAATGAAGTGATATGTTAATCGTATTTTTCATCCCAGGAATTCCTGCTCACATTGACACACATTCTGCTTTTGAGGATGAAATCATTTCTCTCAGTCTGGGGTCAGAGGTAAATGTTCAGCATTTTTATTAGCTATCAACAAGTATCTTACCTTAAGAAATGCCATTTCTTAATTCAAGTGAATTAAGATTTAAAGATGAGAAAGGCACCATTGGCACTTTAATTTCTTACAGAGTGAGAAATTATCATAGTCTCTCTTATCAGGTGTCCCAAGTTTTATCTATTAGCTCATTGGATACCTAGAATTTAATTTCACTTTTAGCAGTTAAATAAAATCCAGACTTCCTTTGGTGCAACATCTTACTTATGCAGCATTGCCATCTAGTGGCAAAATATGGTAGCTGCAGGCTATAGAAAAAGAAAAACGGAAGTGTATGTGTCCAGAATTTTGATTAATTTTTTCACATATATAACCTGATTCAATCCCCTCAAAAACTCTAAGCAATAGAGGATAATGTCCTGATTTTTACATGTAAATAATAAAAGGTCCATATCTATGCATTGATTTATTTCTGTAGCTGCACTTCACTTGAACTGCTAAAGAAGATATAGAACACCTGATTTAAACTGATCCATGTAAGATGCAGATAGAATTTTAATTAGAAATAAAGAGTTTTAAATCTAGAAGAATCCTTAAAATACGAGGGCATCTCGTCTAACTACAGGTTGCTTCAAAATCTGATCTATTCTTGGAAGCAAATACTATTTACTAGTATTTTTTTTGTGTTTGTGTAGTTGCCGTTGCTAGGTCTTTAGGGTTTTGGCTTTTTAATTTTTGCTGAGCTTATATGATCATGTTGATACTGTGACTAGAGACTTAGTATTATTTGATAAGACAAAACCATTTTATCAACTGTGTGTAGATTTTTATTAAATGCTTTCAAAAGTAATGAGGATGGGTAGGAAAAGAGCTCTTTGTCTGGTTTATTTTTACCTCTTATTCAATCTTGTAGCTCTAGGGACCACTAAAGATCATCCTTGTTTTTTCCCCTCAACTGTATAACCAATTGAAAAATGAGACAAAGGATAAATGGAGAAGAGAGTGGCAACTAGATCACTGAGAAACACGGAAGAGCATGGCTTTAGAGCCCTCGCCAGCGGGCTTGTTAATACTTCACCTGTGGAGTAGAGAAGACATACTGCCCTTGTCACTGACGCAGCCAGGCAGCTAGAGATCTCCCCTATAGAGGCAGAGGCTTCCCTGTCAGAGGCATGAAGGAGCATATACTAGATTCTGCAGAGCAGCTGGGTCTGAAAGAGGCTCAGCCAAGCAGGCTTGGCTCTGGCTAACCAGTCAGCTGAGACATTCCTTCTAGAAGCTGAAAGTGAAGGAGTGGAGAAAAGCACGGTGTGTTCCTCCTGTACATCCTTTCCTATGGAAATGCCCTCCCCTCCTAGGGAAATAAGAGGAATGGGGACTAAGTGTTTTCCAACACTGCATAGTCACTAAAGTTGTAAAAAAGGGAAATCTTGCCCTTTAGTTGCACTGAAAATCTGCTGTTATTGTTATCTTCATTCGGTGTCTCTGGAGGCATATCATTTTTATCTGCCAATTTGAATGGAGCTTTTGGTTGAAGTCATCTTTATAATATAGCAGGAAAGCATTCATGTTCTAAGTTATGACAAGAACAATAGATTTTCTTTTAAAATACAGCTTTTGAGGGGAAGTGAATCTTTTTGTAACTTTGAAAACAATTTACTAAGTATTTATCATTGCTATTTAAATAGTCTAGTATATTTGGGGGTAACTTTGAAAACAATTTACTAAGTATTTAAGTTTATCATGCTATTTAAATAGTCTAGTGTATTTGGGGTCCTTTATTTCATCTGTAAAATGGCACAATCCTCGTGCCTGGCTGAAGGATTGTGATGAGCATATGAGTTAATGTATGTGGAATGTTTTTCAAATTTAGAGCCATCCTTACAGGTAAAGGTCTGTTAAGGTATGCTGCTTCTTGGGCTCCTTATTTTGAGGCTTCACTTCTGTAATAAAGGAAGTTCTTATTCCCATGGCATCACAATAGGGTTTCAAGTGGTCACCAGAAAGATGGCTTTCATCTTTTCTTGCATTCACCCGCCATTGCACTCTGTCCTGTTCTGGGTTTTTTTGGTACTGTGGGGCTGAATTCTCTCCTAACTCCTTGAAACAGACGTGGAGTCTGGGTCCCATACTTTGGTCCCTTTTTCTTTATCTTCCCATCCTTGACATTCTTAATTTTGTAATAAATTTATTGTAATGTCTATTCCAGCTTCCTTTTCATTGTACTAATTCGTCAGTGTACCACTGTTTTGGGTTTTAGTGTTTGTTTCTACTGGGCTGAGGTTATGTCTAATTCTGTACTTTCTTCCTTTTCCCAGAAAATTTCTAAGACTTTAAATTTTTTTATTCAGCATAATTGACATACATGATTACATTGATTTAAGGTTTATGATGTAGTAAATTGAAATGTATATACATTATAAAATGATCACATAGTAAATCTAGTTACCATCTGTCACCATGCAAGTTAATATATTATTTTATATTGTCTACTCATTACATTTCCATGTCATTTATTTTATAACTAAGTTTGTACCTCTTGATCCCAGTCTTTGCCCATTTTTGCCTACTGCACAACCCCCTCTCAGTGGCAACCATCAGTCTGTTCTCTGTACCTATGAGCCTGGTTTTGTTTTGTTTTTTAGATTCCACATGTAAGTGAAATCATAGTATTTGTCTTCCTCTGACTTATTTTACTTAGCATGATACCCTCAATGTTCACCTATATTGTCCCAAATGGTAAGATTTCATTCTTTTTTATGGCTAATACTCCATAGTGTGTGTGTGTTGCACATCTTTACCCACTCATCTATTGGTGGATGCTTAGGTTGCTTCCATATCATGGTTATTGTAAATAATGTTGCATATGGAGGTGCAGATATCTTTTCAGGTTAGTTTCTTTGTTTACTTCAGATGAATACCAGAAGTGGAATTGCTGAATCGTATAATAGTTCTATTGTTAAGTTTTTGAGGAACCTCCGTACTGTTTTCTATTGTGGCTGCACCAATTTATATTTCCACCAACAGTACACAAGGGTCCCTTTTTCTCCAGATCCTTGTCAACACTTGCTATTTTTTATTTTTTGATAATAGCCACTGTAACAGGTGTGAGGTGATATCTCATTGTGTAGCAACCCCTATTGTATGTTTTGCTTTATAGGAAACAGTCTGTGGCCTCAGGAATAGATATACTCATGACTCCTGTGGTTTTTATTACTCTGTCTCATTTTGGTTATCTATATCTATATATATATCTGTTGGTTAATTTTGTTTGAGGAGGAAAGTCTAGAAAATAAACAGATGGAATTTAGGAAGGCTTCTGTACAAAAATGTAAGATGCACCACTCATAAGCAATTTTTAAATTTCCAAATAAATTATTTATGATAAATTCATTTATTCATTCAAAAATATTTGTTGAGTATAATTTACTAGACAATCTAGCAAGTAAACAAGGATAAAATCCAAAAAAATTTTTAAGCTAAAATATCTCATTATCTCTGTAGCCTTATCATATACAAAGTAAAACAATTTTATTGAAGTGGTTTGTGATTGACTTTTATTTTGAGAATCGGTTTTTGGTGGAAGTGGATTCACTTCACAGTTCCTGCAAACAAAGGAAGCTGCAGTGTGATACACGAGAGCTTATAGCAAGTGGTCTCATTGCAAACACGTAAGCGTGATCATCATGGGCCTTTACACTAAGCATTTATATTATTGAATATTCTGTGGTGGCTAAAGTATCTCCAATTTAGCATCTTTTCTTTTTCAAACTTATTTTTCTCTTGTGCTGTGTTTATTTTGCTTTCTATTGTGCCATTTGGCAATGTATTTAATGTACCACGAAACTCCAAGATGCCTTCTTTTTATTTTATATTCCATTTGAGACAGTCAGATAAAACAGTTCAAAATCATTTGTATTTGGGAGTGAAAAGAAAGAGATGGCAGAATCTATGTTCTTAGCAGCTGAGACCTAGTTTTTTAAAGCAGAGCTGTGTTTGAAAGGTGGCATTTGCTGACATGTGCTCTAAAGTAGATTTGTTTGTGATGTTTTATTTTCAAAATTGAGCCTGATCTAATTTTGCTTGTTTCCTATATGCAATACTGCAGACAAGTTCCCAGGTGTGTACCCTAAAGGTATATACATAGTATCTGATCAAGTAGGAAAGTTTTCACACCAGAAACATCAAATGATGCTCTGCTTCTCATATCCCACAGAACAATAGGAAAAAGTGTGTTTGGGCTAAAGTGGTATTTTCTGCTGCAGATGCCACTTGAGTGACCACAAGCAGCATCTCATCTCCGTGTGCTGATATGCGAGGTATTTTTCACCTTATGACGAGAATATTGAAGCCAATGCTTTATATAATTGCTCTGACTGCAGGACAAGGGAGCAGAGCTTATTTCTTTTACTCATGTTGGATGGGAGATCCTATGTCCTGTACGTCGGTTCCAGGATGTGTTGCTGTCATGTCTCCTTCCTTTGAGTTTCACAAGACTTGGTAATCTTGGATCCTTGTTTTTATGAAATTTAGCAAATGGATTCAAGGCTCCTAATCTTTAGTTTGTTTTGTTTTTAAAACATACCTTGCCAGTAGGAGTCAGGGAAGGGAAATGGGTTTGTTGAGGTCCTTGATTTTAACTTGTTTTAAAGGATGGAAATTAAGCAGGTGAATATGGCATAGGTAAGAGATTTAAAGGTCATTGACATTAGCCACTTGGTCTCCAAGGCAAAATTCCTATTAATTCCTCTGCCCTGGAAAAATGTGGTATATCAGCAAGCTGCTTTTCCAGCTACTTTCCAGACTAGCAAAATATACTTCTGGGAGTATCATCTTTTGTAGAGAGAAAACTATTTGTTTCACTAAAAATATTCCAATTTCTTCTTGTCCACAATGGACTAATTATTTCATGATAAGTGTAATTCTATATTTGTAAATCCAGGGGAGGCATGTAACCAGACATTTTTGACATGGCTGTACCTCTTTGTAAATAGTTTGTAGCTTCAATCTCGTGTCCTTGCAGTTTCGTCTGTCTGCCCTTTCTGGCCCTCCTTTCCCACTTACTTAAACGTGGTAGACATGGCCATGAGAAAGTATGTGGAAACCACGTGTGTGCTGTTTAAAATAAAAGGCAAGCCTTTATTTCATTTGAGTCCGGTGAAAACATTAGTTAGCTACAGAGGGTTTATATTTGTCCCACTGTGGGAAACAGGCAGACTTCTCTCTCTTCTGCTAAATCCTCAGCTGTGGTACATTTGCTTCAGTTAAATGTAGTGACTTCTATCCTCTCAGCTTTCATCATTCTGTATGAATCACACATTCTTCACATCATATTGTTTCCTGCCTGTTTGCCCTTCGGGGTTTTAAAAGGTTAATGATTGCAGCCTATTTCTGACCAATAAAGATTAGGATTAAATTTGTCTTCTTTCTCAGAAGTGTTCCCAGTAGCAGTATATTCTTCATTTTCATATTTAGCCAACATGGAGGAGACCTATTCATTCTTTCATGTACTTGCTTGTCATGTATCTTTACCTAAGTGATAGTTACAGCTGTGCCTGGGGTTTTCATTCTGTTGTATTTTGGATGTGTAAAGATTTTATAAGATGAGACTGTCTGGGTTTTTTGTTTGCTTGCTTTGAACTGAACATTATCCTCTGTCATGCCCCAGGAGCCTCCTGGGAACTTGATCTTTATTGACTCTGCCATCTTAGAAAATAAAGAAAATAGGTAAAAACCACAAAGAATAATTGGAGAAAGCTGCCGTGGAGCAAAGCTGTCACATGGTACAATGATTCAGCAGTTGCAGGGGAGCATTACTGATTGTGAACCCTCAGTGAATTTTTTTTAAAACATTTTTTTCTGGTCTTTTAACAACGATGATTTAGTTAAGAGACAGATGATTTAAATAAAACACTGATAACAGTTTATGATGGAATGTTTTAAGATTAATTTATTCTTCATAGAAAATGTACTTTTAATTTTTTAAATAAAGATTTTTTTTATTAAGATGTCATTGATATACAATCTTACACTCAGGTTTCACATGAGCAACATAAAAATGTTTTCTTTAAATAAAAAGAACTGTATTCTCACATTATATACCTATGACATAATAGAAAAAATATATATTTGTCTCTTTGCCCCAGTTTCTGGCACAGAACTCCTAAAACTGTTATAATTTCCTAAGTGATAAGAGCACTGGGAGCATCTTTGCTCTTATGTTTGTTCTCTCATCCTAGTTCCCAACACGAAGTTCCTAAATCCCTTAGAATTTCCCAGGCGGTAGCAGTGTCTTTTGTTTTAATGAGCTGACTCTTGTCAGGCCCCTGAATAATGGCTGGTCACCAGAAACACCAAGCAGTGATTACAAGTTTGGAATTTTCAGCCCTCTCCCCCATTCTCCAGAGAGCGGGGAGAGAGGCTGGAAATGGGGTCTGTAATTGATCATGCTTACATGATGAAGCAGCCATCAGAATCCCAATAGTACAGAGTTCAGAGAGCTTCTGGGTCATGGGGCGCAGGGAGGTGCTGCAGCAGCAGCATGCTGGGAGGGGCCTCTGAAGTGCCACACCCCTCCCCGCATACCCTGCCTCATGCATCTCTTCCATTGGATGTCCTTTATCATATCCTTTTATAATAAACTGGGAAAGAGTAAGTAAACTGTTTTCCTGAGTTCTGTGAGCCTCTCCAGCAAATCAGTAATGATCATCAATAATAATCAGTAATAGGTATACTGTACATACTCTAACATAATTCCCATAACATTTGACTTATTTGGTGATATATTTCTTTCCCTTAAAAGTTGGGTTGTGTAATTCAAGACAGGTGCTTACAAATTAGTGTCATGTTCATATTTATCTTATTAGTTCCAATCATTAGTTTAAACTGGGATTTCCCTACTTTAAAATCATTACTCTCTGTTGATAGGAGGGACTGTGTCTAAATTTCACAAATACATGAACTATTATGCATTAGTAAAATATGTTAAATACTAATTAGCCAGAAACTATAACTTCTGGTTAGGCAGAGAACACATTTCTTATTCACTATTGTAGACTTTGATGTCTCACACAGTGATTAATAAGTATTTGTCTAATGAATGAATTGTAATCTAGTATCTCATAATATTTTTCCATAACAGGTTTATTTCTCATTCCTTTTAAGCCACAAATGATTTTATCTAATAAAATAATTAATAAATATACTCATTATACTTTCCTATATGTGCACTTTATCATCTCTTTAGAAAATTGAAACCTATATGTATTGGTTTAAAGGCCACAGTGGCCTTTTCTCTCCATTAGCAAATGTTTTAGTGTGAAAATTTTCATACAGAAAGTTAAAAGAATTGTACAGTAAAAACATATGCCCACTGTCTAGATTTTTCAGTTAACATTTTAATATATTTGTTTTATCAAATACTCATCTATCCATCCCTATTTTATTTATGCTCTTCAGGGAAGTTACAAGTATTAGTACACTTTACCCTCAAACTTCATAATTTATCTGCAGTGTTTATAAATAGAATGCTTTTGGGGTATGCCTATTTGAAATTACATTGTTTATTTTGAACAAATAGTTGTTGGAAAATTATATTCTATCCTCTTACTTTATTTTCCATACTTAGATTGAAAGCGTAGATGAGAAGGAAAAAAAACAGCTTAGAGCTGTATAATTCATCATTCATAAAGAATCTTCATGTGTATTTTCTAATTTGATCCAATATGATTATTACTCTGCCAGGTACTGTGCTGCATGTTAATCCTTAATGAAGGTTCTATTCTAAATTCTTTTCATCCCACTGATACTTGGTTGTCATATTTATTTTTCAAGTGGATTGATATATTCACTTAAAAAATATTTTTCGGCTCAGTGGCAGGCCTTTGAAATTCACATTGGTTAGTTGCTGCTATATTTAGGCCGAACTCTTTGGTGCTTGTGTTCATGAGGACCAAAAACCTTTCTTGGGTGGTGTATCTTTATAGGTTGCTATTCATAGTATTTGAGCATAACTCTGAAAAATGTTCCTGTGTTCTTTGATTGTTTTTATCTCCTGTAAATCAGTCCCTAATATCCAAAATGTTGCATGACTTTAAAGGCAGAATGGGTTATATGAGAATATGCATCTAATAGTTATTTTTCCTTGGATTATTAATTATTATTAATATCCTATGAATAATAATAGCTACTTTTTTATACTTATATGTCAAATACTGTGGTCTATATCCACTATATTTTTAATTAATATAACAGTCCTGTAAAGGTTGAGGAAACAGGTATAAGAGGGTTAATGGTTTGTCCTGGGTCAGATGGCTAGGAAATGGAAGAGCCAGGATGTGAATGTTCTGGCTCTAAGTCCTTGTATCTGACCATCATCTAGTGTTTCACATAATATGATCCTCAGACCACCTACTTCCTGATTTCCTGGGTGATTGTTAGAAATGCAGATTCCTGAGACTAACCCTGCCTGCTGAGTCTGACTCTATGAATGGAGTGTGTTTTTAGTCAATCACTAGATTTTCATGTGCAGTAAAATTTGAGGACCACTATGCTATGCTCTTCTATAAACATTCTCATGTTTTAATTTCTGTTATCCTAGGAGGATAGCCAGAATCAATGAATCATTCTTATCCTTGGAAAACATGACATTTTGGGTTGATCTTTATGCTTTTGTCTTTACTTTAAGATTGTCATGGATTTTAAGCACCCAGATGGTGTCACAGTGCCAGTTATGTTGCCTCGTCGGAGTTTGATGGTGATGACAGGAGAATCTAGATACCTTTGGACCCATGGGTGTGTATTGAAGTGACTTTGATGACAGGATCTCTTTGCTTTGTGAGAGTTCTTGTTTCTGCCTGCACTCCCAGAACCATGCTCCATTTCTGTACATTGAGGCTTCTGGGTTTAAAGCCCCAGGGATATCTGTAGGTTTTTTTTGTTTTTGTGTTAGCCTTTTATTTTTAAAAAAATTTAAGTTTAATGAAAAGTTGCAAGCATAGTAAACTCCCTTTATCTTTTACCTAAATTTGCCAGTGGTGAACATTTTGCCATGTTTTATTTCTCTCACATGTTATTATTTTTGCTGTATCATTTGAGCATAAGTTAGAGACATCATGATCCTTTATTCTTACATGCTTAATTGTACATTTCCTAAAATCAAAGACATTCTCTGTATTAGTGGTTGGCAAACTATGGTGTGTGGGCCAAATTCAACCATTAACCTGTTTTATGCAGCTTTTGAGCTAAGAATGGTTTTTACATTTTTAAAGGGTTGTAGAAAGAAAAAGACTTCAAATACAGACTTTATTTTTTCCTCTGTGCTGAAAATATTTACTGTCTGGCCCTGTTACAGAAAACATCTGTCAATCCATTATATAAAGCCTCAGTGTACTCCTCAAATTCGGGAAATTCAACATTGATAAAATATCCTTATCATACTCTTGTATAATCCATCTTTAAATCTTGCTAGTTTTACTTTCTAGTACTGTCAAAGACAAACCAGAACCTGACAGTGGTTAAGGGGACAGAACTAGATTTTACTCAGGAGCTACTGAAATAGGAGAAAAGAGATCACAGTATAGAACTGGGCTCAATTCCAAATCCAGCAAGGAAGAGGGGGGATTTATAGCCAAGGAGCTGGGGGCGGGAATGGGGTAGTGTCAGTGTATGGAGAATTACTAGGAGGAAACATAAGTGATAAGGCGGGGAGTGGGGGGATTCTGGCCAAATTCACTACAGGATTCTTGCTGAAGGCAGACTAGGGTGATCAGACATCACCAGGGGGATGGTGGGAGTGTGGACTTTGGTCAGATGATCAAATATCAATAAAGTTTGAGGGATTCTAGCTCAACTGACTACCTGATTCTTGCTAAAATTGGGCTCTTGGAGGACATGCTTAAGGACAGGCCTAGCTGGGCTCAGAGCAACCTGACCAAAGTTTGATTGAGAGTCTTCTTCTTGCCAGCCCTGTAGTAAGCTTTCCTTCTGCTCTAGGATTCAGTACATGATCCCGAATGTTAGTTTAGTTGTCAGCTCTCTTTAGTCTTTTTTTAATTTGAAACAATTCCTCAATTTTTCCTTGTCTTTCTTGACACTGACACCTAAGAAGACCAATTATTTTATAGAATGTCCCTCAATTTGAGTTTGTTTGGTTTAATCTAATGTGAAAGAAATGGGTTCTGCAGTTTCAGCAGGAATACATATGCAGCCTTTTGAGGAGGAAGCATCACACTGTGAAGATTTACATGTATTTAAAATACTGCTGAGTTCTATACTTAATACTGTTCTACATGGAGATTTTAGTTGATTTGTTTTTATAAGAATTCAAGGAAATGAATATATAAATGAATTTGTAACCTGTCTTAAATGCCAGCCATAAAAACAGATGGTTTGATTTTGTGCATTGAGCTTAAATTTGCCTTCCGCCCTCCCCCTCGTGGCCATTTAAAATATTTTCACTTACAGTTAATGAAACTTATGATGTGCTCTAATGGTATCAAGTATTCTGGAATTTTGAGAATATTCATATTTTCCTTTTTTAGGTTCAAACATTTTTACTATCAGTAATATTTAAACTTCGGAGTAATGGTATTATAGCAAATATAAAATAAAAAATTACTTTTCATATGCCTATATTATAAAAATATTTTAATCTATTCTGGGTAATCGTGCAGATTAATTCTCCTAAACATCATTTTGATCACATTATTTTCTTGTTCAAAGCATGTTGTGCTGTTAAATGTAGTTATTTCTGGAGGATTGAAATATAGGCAATATTTATTTTTAAACCTTTCTCTGGATTCAAAATAATCTAACTTCAAGGAAAAACCCCACAATATTATTTTTAAAGGCTTCCATTGATACCCATTGCCTATAATGTGATTTCATGTGTGTGTGTGTGTATTAGAAAGAGAGAGAGAGGGAAGAGGAGAGAAGTGGGTACAAATAGAGACAGGAACAGAAGAGAGAATATACCAGCTATTGATGTATTATTCATCAGACTCTGGGTAAAAGGGCAGATAGTTTGAAAAAGCACAATTAATACACTTAGAAATACATATAAACATAGGAAATACACTTTGATAAAAATTTTTGATAATAGCCACAAAAAGATGGCAGAATAGGATGGTAAGGTGGAATCTTCCCCTCACATACGCACCAAGGAAGCAACTACAGCAAGTAGAACTAACCCTGAAAACGACCTGAAGACTGCAGAACAGACCATCTACACTTGGTGAAGAAGAGAAGATCACATAGTGTAGGGTAAAGGGGCAGAGCCATGATCCACTGGGAACCAGGCTCTACCCCCATCCCAGCCCACAAGCAGGAGTGAGAGGAATAGAGTGGGTAGGGGTTAAACACTCAGGAATCTGGCACACCTGGCCCTGGTGATGTGCTCCGGGAATACGAGTCCTTACTGCATTGGCTTTGCTGATTAAGGGGGCTAGACACAGGGAGAGTCTGAGCACTCTGGGGGAGGTGCAAGGTTGGATGGGCAGGGGGATAAGACTTCTGTCACTTGTGAAGGACAGGCATGCTTGGTCAGTCCTGCTGAGACCCAATACAGAAGCAGTAGTTTGACAGATTTACCAGCAGTGGAAAGTTTGGCAGAGGGGTTGAGGTCAGAGGGAGCCCTCTGTGCAGGAGAAAGGGCAGGCAGGTGATACTTTAGCTCTCCCCCAGCCCAACTGGCCAGGGGCTTGTAGGATCAGCTCTAAATCTCTCCATCTCCCTTTCTGGTGGCTCAGCCCCATGGGGGCACTTCCCTGTGTAACTGCCTTGCCTGGCACACTCAAGCCAGCAGTGGTTTGATTTTGCTGACTGACAGGCTTAGAGTGGACTACACTTTCCCTGCTTCCCTGGCTTTTCCTTAGTCCAACTGACCAGATGCTTGCAAGAGCCAGGTCTAAACTCTCCACCTGATCCATTGGCTCAACCCCAGCATTCCACTGCAGGCTCTTGGCCTGCCATTACTGATTGGACAGCCCTTCCCACAGTGAATCCCTGCAGAAGCACCTCATGTCACACAAAGGGCACACGGAAGCATAGCTGATCTATCTAATACAAATGAAGAAACACAAGAAACCAGACAAAGGAGGAGGCAGAGGAATATATTCAAAACAAAAGAATGAGGTAAAACACCAGAAAAATGGCTAAATGAAACAGACATCACAGTCTTCTTGATATAGAATTCAAAGTAACAGTCATAACAATGCTCACTGAACTGGGGAAAAGAATTAATGATCTTAGCAAGGACTTCAACAAGAGAGAAAATATGAGAGAGAGCTACTCAGAAGAACACAAGAAATGAAATGAAAAGTACAATAGAGAGATTGACTAGCAAACCACTAGAAGCAGAGGAAAGAACCAGTGTGATGAAAGATAGAGAAGAGCAGAATAACCAAGGTGAGAAACAGAGAGAAAAAAGAATTTGTAAAATTGAGAAAATGCTAAGAGAGCTTTGTGACAACTCCAATCAAAACAGTGTTCACATGATAGGGGTCCCAGAAGGAGAAGAGGGAGACAAAAGAGTAGAAAGTCTATTTGAAGAAATAATAGCTGAAAAATTTCCCAATCTGGGGAAAGAAATAGAAGCACAGAGAGCCTCTAGCAAAATGAACCCCAGGAAGACAACACCAAGACACATGGTGATTAAAATGGCAAAGGTTAAAGATAAAGAGAGAATCTTAAAATCATCAAATGAGAGGCAGTTACCTATAAGGGAATCTCCATAAGGCTATCAGATTTCTCAGCAGCAATTACAGACCTGAAGAGAGTGGCATGAAATATTCAAAGTTTGAAAGGGAAGAACTGAGAACCAGGAATAGCCAACAAGGTTATCATTCAGAATTGAGGAGAGAAAACTTTCAAGTAAAGTTTTTCAGTAAAATGAAGATTTAAAGAATTCACCACCAGTAAGCTTGCCTTGTGGGATATATTAAAGGGACTCCTTTAGATATATTATACAGCAGAGTAACAGCTGGCCTTGTGGGATATATTAAAGGGAATTCAGCAGAAATAAACCTACAGTAAAGGTAGTAGGCCAATTACTTACAAAGCAATTATGAAGTTAAAAAAAAAGTAGTAAAATCACCTATATACAAAATTAGTCAAGGGATATGCAAAAGATGTAGATCATGACATACATAAAGTGTGAAGGAGGAGGAACTTTTAGAATTTGTCAAAATTGAATGTCCATTAAATTAATATAGACTGTTATATATTGAGGAAACTATTAACCTTATGGTAAACACAAACCTAAGCCTTATAACAGGTACACAAAAAATTTAAAAAGGAAATCCAATCACAACACTGAAGAAAACCATCAAATCATAAAGTATAAGAAAGGAAGAAAGGAATACAGAGGAACTACAAAACAACCAGAAAACAATAAAGTGTTAGTAAGTACATATGTTTCTGTAACTACCTTAAATGTAAATGGATGCACTGATCAAAAGTTTTACAGCGGCAGAATGGATAAAGAAACTATCCATCTATATGCTGCCTTCAAGAGACTCATTTCAGACCTAAAGACATATATAGACTGAAAGTGAAGGGATGAAAAATGATATTTCATGCAAATAAAGGAGAGAAAAAAGCAGGAGTACCAGTACTTAACGTCAGACAAAATAGACTTCAAAACAAAGAAAGTAACAAGAGACAAAGGGGGGAGACATTATGTAATGATAAAGGAATTAGTTGAACATGAGGCTATACCAATTGTAAATATCTATGTACCCAACATAGCAGCACCTAAATATGTAAAACAAATGCAGATCTAAAGTGGGAAATAG